GACCWCMAAGGACAGGCTGAGAGCAAGCTAGTGACTGTATCATCTTTTAAGAAGGTTCTGGATCTCCCAGCAAAGCATATGCAGGAGATTTTAATTAATCAACTCTCAATACATACTGAGACATACACTAATATATGTCTCATCTTTTCCTACCTTGCAGCCATAATGTCAGCTTCTGAATAGAGTTAGTGTTCTCTTGAATTCATGGCCCTGCAACTTTGCTTCCAAAGGAATAAATCATTTATTTTTTCCACCATGGTTTGGGGTGGGCAGGTGGGAGGTGGAAATCAAGGGAAGAAAACAATCCTACTCTAAATTTCTTGCATCTATGATGATCTGGTGTTCCTTGGTCAAACTCTTCATCCACCTTAGGCTCCAAATAATCTGCCTTACCAAGACTGACTTCACAGGCCCATCTTTACAGTGACCCTGCTCCTTCCAGAGCACTCTGTTCCCGCTACCTACACTGCACTTTTAGTAGTTTCATGTCCAGACAAGAACACAGCAGAACTTGCAAAGAGAGCAGTAAGACAATCTTTGAAGCACAGTGAGAAGGCATTTACAATGCAGTCCTCTGCTCAGGTACCAGTGTAGAACAGTTCTAATGCTGTAATTCAGATCCTGACATTGGCACCACTTTGTGACAAGACTAATGAATTAAGTGTGTTTAGGTTATCTACACTAATCTCTACAGAAGGACTACAGATTACAAAGACATCCCAGATGGAGTGAAAAAGCTGGAAAGACTAAGTGACTTCAACAGCAAGCAAAATCTACCAGAACTTCTGATCTTGTTCCTAAACCTTATACTTCATTTGTCAAACTGCAGTACTAGGGTCTTTAGACCAAATCTCTCACCTTCAAACATTGTCCAGTTGTCACGAAGATATTTTGACATCTTCTGTAATCCTTTGTCATCAGTTACAGGCTGGGAGGAAAAAAAAAAAAAAAAAAAAACTCTGCATGATGATTTGAGCACAATGAACAGAAAATCTAACATTTCACAATACACTGAAAAATGCAAAAGCTCCAATATGAGCACAGTGTAAGAAGAGTCACCGTAACCCCCAGGATCTCTTAGGCTCCTTCTTCCTTCCCTGACCACTACAGAAACCTGGCCTGAGTTCTGCTAGCCTGGGCCTACCTGTTCTGCTAGGGAAGCTCAGCAGTCTGAAGGAAAATAAAATGGATCCTCACTTAGTAATTTGTGAAATTCCTTTTCTTCACAAGAAACACTAATTAAAAAAAAATATATATATATATATATATATATAAAATATACTCAGAAGTTTAATTTAAAATCATCACACAACTATGCCACTGTTAGTTTTGGACTTGCTAGGATAACAAGGGAGTTGCCAATTATTTAACGGGCAATTACAGAGAACTTGGTAGCACTCAACTCTGACTCCTTGTTCTCAATGCTAACAACTTTAATTTTAATGCTGTCAGAATACCTAGCCCCCACAGGTTCCATTGGAGGGAGTCTTGTCTTTGAGGGATTGTCTAAAGACAATGGTTTAAAGTATTGAGTGTTGTGGCTTGATCCCACTATTCCACACGTTAGCTTTGTAAGAAATGAGACTTTTAATCCTAAGATCTAGGGTAGCTTTGCAGAAGCTTTTCTCTGTGACAGAAGTAGAATGAGATGTATCCAAGACTTAAGTCTTACTCTTAAGACATAAACTATGAAAGCTAAATGGCAAAGTTCTCTGAGTGTTGTTTGTTCTGTTTTCACTACGTCCTGCGGATGATGCAAAACATCCACAATTTTAGTGTGAGACAAATATCTACCTTCCACTGTCCATCCTCTGGTCTGTGCAACAGAAGAGGGGCTTCACTGCTTTCCTGCAAAATCCAGAGATCTCCCGTTTCCTCAAATGCAACATCCCAGCCTCTGTGTTCCAGGGAGATTTGCTGTCTGTGAACTAGCTGTTGGGCAATGGCATCAAGCTGAAAGATGTAGACTGTGGGAACACTTTTGAGAGAACAGACTTAATTATCATAATTACCAAATCCACCTACAACCATCACACGTACAGCAAACTGCAACCACCCACAGCAATTCCAAASACAGCCAAAGCAAAACCACTGGTAACTGCAGAGACCACTGCAGCAGTCCAAGAGAAGTTTACTCATGTGCTCCGAGGCAAGAGCTATAAGATAACCCCGATGTCAAATGTCTTTTTAAATGTTATATGAAAGAAATAGTGGTCAGACTGCCCTTCTTTCAGAAGAAAATGCAGCAAATGGAATTTTACAAGGGTTAGGGGGTTCTATAGGAAATACTAATTTTATAACACTAGCAGCCTACAGGGCCTAACCTGAAGGAGCACCAGTAAAAACTAAACCAGAAGGAATTTCACATTGGTGAAGGGCGGATAAGAAGAGAATCACAGAATCACAGAATGGTTGAGGTTGGAAGGGACCTCAGAGGTCATCTAGTCCAACCCCTCTGCACATGCAAGGTCACCCAGAGCACGGGGCACAGGGTGCATCCAAGCAGGTTTGGAAGATCTCCAGAGAAGGAGACTCCACAACCTCCCTGGGCAGCCTGTGCCAGGGCTCTGTCACCCTCACTGTCAAGAAGTGTTTYCTYAAGTTCCTGTGGAACTTTTGGTGCCTCAGCTTGTGGCCGTTTCCTCTAGTCCTATTGCTGGCCACCACTGGAAAGAGGCCGCCCCCTCCTCCTCACTGCCTCCCTTGAGGTATTTATACACGCTGATCAGGTCCCCTCTCAGCCTCCTCTTCTCCAGGCTGAACAGGCCCAGCTCCCTCAGCCTTTGCTCATAGGGCAGATGTTCCAGGCCCCTCATCATCCTCGCAGCCCTAGGAAGCACCTAGAAGTGTCTGAAGAGGATCCAAGCACCACAAGGGCGAGGCGCCACCGCCCCCCCTGCTGCTGGCAGCCATTTTCCCTCCCAAACGTGGCCTCCATGGAGASGGCTTCCTCGCAGGCCTGGGGCGGGTGCCTGGCGTGCCGGGCAGGAGCTCCCCACGCTGCGGAGATGCCAAAGAAAGCATAACCAGGGCTCATTCCCACACAGAGCCCTCCGAAGGCGCCYGCGCTTCCAGAGCCCGCTCGGACGCTCGCGTGCGGAACTGCTGGGCCCAGGGGAAGCCAGGGCTTCCCGCTCTGGAGAGGAGAGGGTTCATCGGGGGCAGGCTGCCGGCTTCAGCAGCTCTCCCTTTCCTCTGGCCAAGGGATGTAAATTAAAGCAGTTCTCTTGGCAGGCTGAAGGTGATGTGGAAAGAGACGGGAAGAATGTTTATGCATTCCCGCCAGGCATTTCCCTGCGAGTTGGACGGCAAGGTTCCCTCGTTCTTGGCCCCACTGCTCCCTAGTACTCGCTCTTAATGAAATCACATAGGTTTGAACCCAAGARTTCCAACGGCCCTTCCGTGGTTTTAAAATGAAGCAATGTTGCAGTTTTAAACATTTCTAGGTGCAGAAGAGGGCAACAAAGGTTGGGCACTCTGCTGTGACCGCATCCACGCAGCGGAAAAGCAGCACAAAATTCTGCAAAAGCTTTATATTACCTTCCAACTCCAACCTAAATTCCGATCAAATACAATCAGCTCTCACAGGCTTCCTGCAAGACCACAGACATGCCTATGCCACCCAAAAATCCACAGCACCAGGTACTTCAGGCTAGGGGGAAAAGCCAAGACATCCAACAGGGAGACCTGTTTCTCTGCTACAGGACACACGAGACTTTAGCTGTTCCTCCATTTACTCTTACCAGTCACATATAACGGCAACATAACCACCTCGACTGCAGTAGGTTATTCTTGACACAGTGTATTTCTGTTAGGAGAAGGAGAGAAAGAAAGAAAGGAGACAAATTATAACTCTGAGACCATTTAAAGGCAGAGAATTTACATTTAATTCCCTGCCAGCCTTTTAATTTCAGCAGATGTCTTAAACTGCAGTAAGTTAAGTAATATAATTACACTAAAATTGCCCTCAAATATATCTTTTGTACTAATGTAGTTAATATTATAAAGTTTTCCACACTTTTCCCTTTGCAGTTATCTGGAGATCAAACATAGAAGTTTTAACTCATATTTTAACCGTTTTTCACCAGCAGGTAAGATACCGAAGGAGTACGCATCTGCTTTGGAAACCTTTCTCCTGCAAGGCTCATGGTAAAAATACCAGTGTTAAGCCYGCCCAGCTAGAATATCACTCCAATGGCTTAGAGATTATATGGGTAAGCCATTAGAGGCCCTCCTATTTTGTTAAAGAGAACTGTGTAGCCCATATCCTTGTTGGGTTGTCCCAGACTTCAATCTCTATCTAGGTGAAGCTCAACGTGATCTGAAGAGYGAGGCAAGATTACCTCAGGATGTTTTCCTCATTTAACCAAACGACTCATAATTCATAAGAAATACAGTGTTATTTCATGAGGAGTCAGGGAAATGTCTTTGCTGGAAACATCACACTACGTGAAATATATAGCAATTGATTTGAGGCTGCCTGAGTGGGAATTAAGAACTTGGGACTTTTATTTATTTATTTTTTTTTTTGGAAAGTCTCTTACATATATTATATGAAATATAAGTCTGCAAAAACAAAAAGCTGTCTCTAAAGTAAGCAAGTAACAATAACACCACCATTCTGCACAACCAAACCTTCCTGCCACGGGAGCTGTGGGTCATTCCCTTTAGGGCAAACATGTCATCTTGCCAGTTGGGATGTGCCCTTAATGCCTCTTTCCCTGCTGCCAGCCTTCATCTCCTGCCCCACATCACTGGACTGAAGCCCTAGTTCACCAGCACAAGCAACTGCATTTGGAAGTCACCAAAGGATTTTACTCCGTGGGGCAGTAGCTGATGCACAGCATGGCCAGGAGACTCATTCTGGAATTCTGCAATCAACCAAGCCAGGAAAGCAAAACAGGCTGCGCAGCTCCCAAACAGCCAAGACAGCAACTTTAATCCAAGAAACTAATGCTCCATCCACAGTACGACCACAAGAAGATGAACCAGCTTCAGGAAAGTCCATTAACAGTATCAATAGAGCCAAAAAAAACCCCAAGTTACACGGTGCATCTCCAGCAAGAGAAGAAAGGAACTTGCTGTGTGATACAGTCTTATTTGGGGGAGGAGGAGGGAAGCCAGAACAAGAGCCTGCAAACCACCCAGCAGCGGGCACCTGGATCGTTTCTTGGACAGAAGATTTTCTGAAGGCCACTGCCAAACCAAAGACATGTTTAAGAGCTCTTTCGAACAGCTGGGGCTGCTCTGCAGAAATCAAGTGCTACTCCATAGCTGACAGTGGGACCCAGGCCTCCTGTATAACACGAGCATAGAAAGGGGTTATGATTTGAAATACAGGACAGCACGAGGTAGAGGGGGTTGAATCAGCAAGAGCCGCTGTAGCGAACACATCTGATGCTAATTACCACAGGATGAATCCCTTTACGGTGCAGCTTTGGAGTAGAACTGACAGCTCCTATTGTCCAACACGACCAYGTTGCTTAGACATTTACGGAAATAAAAGACGACATTAAAAAAAAAAAAAAAAAAAGGATTTTTGTTTCTAGTAACAAAGCTTCCTTCTGACTGTCTCCTGGCAAACGCGCAGGACGTAAAGGCAGTGATAGGAAGCACCCACCTACGCAGCTCAGTGCTTTGTCAGGCAGACAGAGGGTTCTGTGAACTCAAAGTATTCAGCAGCTCTCCCCAGCGCTCGCTGGGGAGGGAGGAGAAGAAGGTGTGAAGCAAGTGTTAATCACAGCCTGGCAGGGACAGGAAAATGCATCTTTTCCGAAGGCTCCCTRCCTTCCTCCACATAACACTAGGTAAGTTAATGTTCACCGGAGGGAACACACACCCCACACCAGTATCTTGATGGAACGCCAATGAAAATAGTGAACTTAAGAAAAAGGACAAGAGAAGCCTGTGATGAACTGCAATTCACTCGATACCCTCTCTGCTGATTCAGTAGTTATGTGCCAGCGTTATCAGCCTGCCAACACTTTAAAATTAACTTTGATGTCATCTGTGAGAAAAAACCCTATGAAAAATTAATGTATTGAAGCACTGGGGTGGAGTAGTGCAATTCATGTTCTGGACTTTAAACAAGCTTCTGTTGTCAGGAATATCAGATGAGGTGAAAGCTCTGAAAGGGAAAAATACTTATGCAGCACTATATGGAATTAGAGAAATACTCCTACTCTAGTGGGAAAACGAACGGGGGATCTACAACCCTTCTGCTGAAGCCAACACTGTGGTGCTCTGGAACACTCCTCATTTCCCAAAACAGACATATTTTGCTTGGCAGACGATGAAAATAAACCCACATTTACATGCTCATATGGCCTGTCATTACTAATGAAACACAGTAATAACCAAATCAAGTGGTTCAGTTCAGGCTTCAGTGCATTCAGAGTGGGGAGGGAAAAAAAAAAAAACACCCTTGAAGCCAAAGAAGAGCTTATATCCAAACTGATCTCTTGCAGTGAGAATCACCAGCACCGGGCAGGCAGGTTAAACCTACCAAATGCTGACTGCGGGGACRTTCTGTTGTGTCCAGAATCCAGAATATAGGTGGCAGACCAGATGGTGAGGATCATCTTTGGTAGAGCTGCACGGCCAGGATTGCTAACTAGCACCCCTGGTCAGAGGCAGCACTAGAAGCACCAAAAAAGACAGTGCCAGAAGGAAAATACAGGCTTCTTTTGATCCTGTCAACCCTCAAGAAACTGTCTCTCAGGATTACTCTGGTTAAWCCTGCCTGGAACTAGTGCACTGGTTAGTACATATAGTATATGACACAATATTGCAATGGCCACGCAGTGGTTTAAAACCATGAACAGCCAGTAAAAGCAAAGTATATATTGACAGTGTGTAGGAAGATGGCACCCAGGTGGCACTGCCCAGTGCTAAGGGTTAAACCCATCTGTCATTTAAGGTTTAAACCTCTCTGTCACTCACCTATCTCTCATCACTGGGACTCTGCCTCATGATCATTACAAAGGCTTAAGACCTCTGAAAGCTGCCTGGGTCCTCTGCACCCCACAAGCATGATAAAAATCTAGGGGTATTGGAGGCAAATTTTATAAGGACGGTATGAACTGGTACTAAGTAGAATTGGGCAGATTCAAGGAACAGGTCACCCTGAGGTTTCCAAAAYGACCATTAAGAGACACACAGTACATACCACATGCCAATACCTGCAAAACACTGCAGGAATAAAGTTCATTAACTCATGCTCAGGTAGGGTCATTTCGCTTTTTGTTACTGTTTACTCACAATGGGAGGAAACAAAGACGCTACCAGAGATTTCTGAAGCAATGGAGACTACAGAGAGACTCCATCAGCAGAGGGTATCTCCAGAAGGCACACTATCAGGTGTACCAGGAGATGACCACTATTATTAAACTATATTGTAAGAATTTCAAAGGCATTCTTAGAGATGAAGCTCTTCCTTTCGAGCAGTTGCTGTTTGTTCCTCTTAGGTATATGGCAAGTTACTTATTAGTCCTCAATAGTTCTATAATGCTCGGAAGCAAAACATTTTAAACACAGACCATGCATTCTCCCAAAGGAAACAGCTTACAGGAGTCCTGAAGACACAGATCGACATATATCAAATTATGCTGTTTGCAAACAGGCGGTTGCTTGCTACATTTAAACACAAAGATTATAAACTCTGGCTTGGGAACTCCCTGCTCCAGGGAGTTTTTACTCAGATATATACTGGTTTTTACTCAGATACAACTTCAAGTGGTGTTAAAGCTGCTACTTCAGTATTTTTAAGTGGGTTAACTTGCASTGTGTAAAGCTAGAAAGAGCTATCTTCTGACTAAGAGACTGAGGCATTTTTGCTTTTCAACCTACAAACTTATATGGGGGCAGAAGTATGAAGAACTCCTAGTTACCACTTGGCATTTTTAGCGATGCAAGCAAGATATGAACGAATTTGAGGGATTTTCTTCCCTTCCCCAAATCCAAGCTCTTCTCCCGACCCCTAGGCCTCGCAGGGAAGCCCTCCTGCCAGGGAGGCGGCGAGGAGGCGGCTGGGGAGGAGGGCACGGGCAGGAGGCGACGGCGCGGCCCTACCTGGGGCGTCGGGGCGGCCTCGGGCCGGCGCAGGCTGCTCAGGTGACAGCAGAACACCTCCTTGCCGCTCCTGTACTCCCAGAGGCGCACGGTGCAGTCCTGGGCACACGCAAGGGGACACCACACGGGCGGGTTACCAAGGGCGCAAAAAGAGGCAAAAAGAGGCCACTCGGGGCCTTCAGCTGAATGCMGTCTCCCTGAACAACTTCCCACAGAAACTGCTACGTAGTCATGCAGTTARGATCTCAAATTGCAGAAAAAGCATTTTAATTAACATTTTTTCTCCTTAAATATTAAATTATTCAATCATGCTAACTTTAATTCTCCCTTTGAAGTGGAAATTGGGTAGCTGGAGGAATGGATTTCAATATGTCTCATATAGCCCAATAATACCTAGCTCAGTATTTTAATGGCAATTCTTTAGGGTTGCCCTTTTCCCCCCAACTCTTATTAGGAATCAAATTCTCATTTGATTTACTAACCTCCTGGAGAGAAACTAAAGACCTCTCTAGAAAAACAGAGCCATTAAGGAACTTCCTAAGACTGAAACACAGCCCTAACAAAGCACAAAAACTAACACTAGAGAGGCTTAAACAGGAATTAGAGAAGAACAAGCAATAACAGTTACAGCAGCAGTAACACCATTTGAAACCAAGAGCTATGCTCAGCATTGACACAACCTTCACAGAAAATATTTTTTTTTCTTCTTATGCAGCTCTGGTAGTTGGAGATACAAGGAATATTATTTCCTGCTTGGTCAACTCCATTTACTTAACTCTTTACACTTCTGGCCTGACAGCAGGAGTCCATCAATTTATATATATATATATATATATATATATATATACACACATAAATATCTATATATTATATAGATAGATATAGATATCTATTTATATATATTTATTTATATATGGGAAAACCTACCTCACTTGTTCAGCTGCCACCCAAGGCACTGTGGAGCACTGCACTGCAGTCTCTACACAACATCCATGGGACATACAGCAGGGACGTACAGATGAGGACACAATTCGAAAAAGGTCTCATAGTGAAAAGCAAGTGGGAGGGGGAAGAGGGAACTGCTCTTTAATCTTAAGTGCTCTGAAGAAATCTGGGATTCAAAGGCCATAAATTCTCAAGATGGTCATTGTCATGGCAGGCTGCCATCRTATTGATTTGCTTCAAAGTTGTTTAAATAGTCAATTGATTTGTTTGTCCTCTGWAGCAAGAGTTATTCATGAGGAAATACTGAGGACTTTGCGATTTAATCATCCCAAAGATGTTAACAAGCAGCTAGATTTGTTATAAACACAGTTAAATGGCTCCTATATGACCTAGCAATAGGATGGTTAAACACAGAAGAGAAGCCAAGAAAGGGAGTGAGGGTCATAAGAAAGGGAAAGCTGGAAATCAAAGAGAATTTATTCTCAGAGTCCCGGGGAGTTTGGAGGGAAACACAAGCACATAAGGGTTTTAAAGTCTAAATTTTTAGGGGGGCAGAACTTTTTAGAAGAAGTTGCAATACATACCCCAGAAGCTGACAACAGCAAATCTGGATAGTTGGGTATTACAAATATTTTGCTTACAAACCTAAAGGAAAAGTAGTCAAAAGTTGAACTCTCTTACATGACACAYTGGTCTTTAAACACACACAATAAGAGAACTCACCCATTTTAAGAGAATCTTATAATAACTAACAAACAGATTGTCTCCATTAAGCTAGTTAAGAAAAACATAAAATATATCTACTATACTTAGTGTGTTATTAACTTGGAGCTCAGCAACATAAAACCCAGTACACTTAGATATTTAMCAAGCAGGCACTCTTACTTTTGCAAATGAGCATAACTTTAAGGCTACTAAATAAAAATAAATAAATAAAAGATCTGGTCCCTGTAACTCAAGCTTCTGTGACAAARCAGTAATGACAGGTGCAGACAACCGTAACGGATTCACCAAGTCATCAAGCACACCATTAAATGAGGAAAATCCAGGAGCATGAAACAAGACAGAACAATTACAGTTACAGCTGCTGTCTATACACCTTTACTTATTATTTAAATATTCAACTTATTTAAATATTGAACTTTTAAATACATTTCAAGCAGTTTACACTATGTGTCTTCCCACTGTGCAAGCACAACTCTTGAGATGGACACAACAGCCCTGTTTAAAAGCATTTTTCTGACCACCAGGTTTTGCGTTCATTAGAAAGTACAACCATGTCACACAGCAGGACCAGACACAGCTGCACAAATAYGCTTCAAGAACCTGTCTGACCAAGGGCTACTTGGATCTCCAGTATGTGGAGTTTGCAGATTTTAAACTACGCCAACTCTCCCCAGGTTAGACTACCAAACGATTTCATTAATCTTTGTCATATACACCTTATTAAAACACCCTTCTGGGCAGCTTGCAGTGCAGGCTGCCTAGTACCTCTAGCTCGCTGCGCCGACCACAACCCTCGGCCACCCCACAGCGCGTTGGTCGCCCCAGGCCGCGTCACCTTGTGAGGGAAGGCGGCCCGGGRGGCACTGCTGTCCCCGAGGAACCCAGCAGCCACATGCAGAGCTGGGCACCTTGCAGCCCCATCGCTGTGGGCCTCACAATGCAGCTACAGCCACAACCAAAACCTGGCAGCGGCTCCCTGCACCCACCYCTCCCCTCGCCCTGCCACCCAAAAAAAACCCAACCAACCAACCAAAAACGCCCAAAACAATGTCTCCAAAGCCCACCAAATGAATACAGATGGAAGGTAAAAAACAGAAGATTTTGAAAATACCACAACCAACAGTCATTTTAAAGAAGCAAAACATGGATGGAAAAAAGTCTTTTAAAGTATTTTCCATTTGAGCTTTTCATGGGAGGATTACTGAGAATAAGACAGTCCCTCCTTAGCCCTCCTCCTCCTTCCCCCTACCAAAAAAAAAAAAATCACTACACCAACTCCAAGACCTTACCTACTCTTATACAAAATAAATAAATAAACCAACGGCTCCTCCAGCAGCCAGTGGATTGTTTTGCTGCCTTCCCTCCAGAGACAACTGTAAGGAAAAAAGCACCCTTCCTTTTTTAAGCAGAGGGAACTCTGCATCCTCCTACACCCTTACGAAGGGAATACAGCAACGCCCTCCATCTTCSATGCATCTTCCACATATCCTTCTTTTTGTCTAACTGTCCTCGTCCACAGCAGAAGAACCCATCTCAAAGACAAAACAAACTAAAAGAAAAAACTACATACACACAGTCTCTTCCTCAGATACTAGAAAGGCAAAGAAACCAACAGAAGCCATTCCTAGAATCTGCAAGATCATTTTACAGCCTTTAGTTTATCGCAGTCTAATGTTTAGGTGGGCAGTGCTTCCTTCATCCTATTGATACAGCCGGCTTTTTATCCGTACTACTGCAGCAGCTCCGAGATTAAGCTCTGCACCAAGATGCTGTTTGAGTACAGTCTGCCCCAAAACCAAAGACTCCTTCTTCCTAAGACTAAGGTARGCTCTCTCCTGAGCTAACAAAACCCCAGTCTCTGGGGTATGTATCTCCAGTCTAGATGTTGCTTAATACGATTCTGGGAAACAAGCACTTCATCCATCCAGTCACAATGAAGATGTGCACATTAAAAGCCTTACAACTTACTCTTTGTGTCCTAGACAGTAGGAGACAATGTTATGAGGAGCTTTAGCCAAACTGACCCTGATCTTCTCGTCTCTGTCGGCCGTCAGGATATACCGGTCATCAGGACTCAGCGCCTGTTGGTAAAGACGGAGCTTTAGTGCCCAATACCTGAACATTTCTTTTAATGGAAAAAGAAACCAGTAAACTATTGGTTTCTCCCTACTCTGAACAGCCGCTGCAAGCATTAACCCACATGTCTCCACTCACAATAGAAGCAAATCTTTGTGACAGTAACGTTCTTGCTCACTAAGACAAGCAGCACTGACCGAGTCCAAAGAAAGCCACTGCACTTCAGAAGCACAGCAACAAACCTACTGCATCTTARAAAGAAAGAAACATATCATACTGAAGAGCTAAACTGACATAAAAGAACTGAAGAAATTCCCATGTTTCCACGACTGCTACGTGGAGAATTTCTGAACAATCACGCTCCGAGGATAGACAACCCATGTGTTTCCTTTCCAAACCTCTGCGTTCAGACACACTCAGCTGGAAGAAACACAGATCATCTACTTGGTCTATACAAACGGGGACTAGAGATCTTGGGAAGTGTGGGAGGAAGAAGAAACTCCAACGCTGGGGCTGAGACAACAACGAAAAATCCAAACACAAGCACAAAGCAAGTCTGTACACAAGCTGCATGGAAGCACCAACTTACCACATCTGTTAGCAGGGACAAGTGACCCAGTTCAAGTTTTCCTTCTGCTTGGGGTTCTGTTATTGAATACGAATAGACATCACCAGACTTGTCTGCAACCAGAATCTTATCCTCAGCAGCTGTAATAAYGAGGGCAGTACATCTCCTGTTCACAGATCTGAAAGACAAATGGTGCAGCTTCAGTACTTTTGTATGGCAACTTCRGCAAGTTTGGACTCAGACCCACTTAAACACAAAAAACCCTCCAAAGACTGCCCAAGGAGCTCTCATTACACGCCACGTCCTTGAAATGACAGCAACGATTGCAATGCCAAGGGAGGGTAGATGGCAGAGGGAAGAGAACTTGATCCTATTAAATTACTATATAATTGTAAACATCTGGGAGATGGGAGAAAGGACAGCATTAAAAAATACACGTCTGTATTTTGCATAGGTATTTTCTGAATGGAGCATTTAACTAGGCAGCTGGCCAGTTTTCTAAACAAGGCTTGGTGGACTCCCTTGCAATATCGGTAACAAAAATACAAGCTAAACACACCAGAAAGGCAGGCAAAGTGGGAATTCTCCCACTAAAAAGTCTTCTGCGATGATACAATGTAGAAAAGGTGTGTTGAAACCATTTCTCCAACCGCTACTTTGTACYGCAAAAAGCAAGTCCTTTGTGAGCCTCAAGGACTCTTCCTCCTCACATTCTTTTGCACTTTAACAGTGTCAGAGTCTTGGTGTCTCTTGTTCATATAAAACACTGAACTCAGTCTTCCCTGCTGTATCTTACACTATCTTATCTGGTTGTATCTTACAGTTACGGTTGCTAGTGGAGCAGATAATGGTTTTCTCATGACTTTTCAGGTAAGCATATGCACCCTGTGTCAGAAAACAAGTTTTAAAACAGGTTTAATCATTTATTATAGAGAAAGCTTCTGCACCGTGACAGCTATTGTTATGACTGTTACTGTTTTAGTTTTATTACACTGCTTTTCCAAAACCCTTCATGTCTGTTTATATAAGACCATAGATACCAGAGTTCATAAAGAAATGCACCTTTCTATTCACCTGCTACTGAAATTCAGTGACTGACCTTTGAAGGTGAAAGAAGAGATATATTGTTCTTCATATAGACAGATAGATTGAAATTTAAGTGCTTTTTCGTGACTGATAAAGGAATGTCATAACAAGGCATGGATGCCTATTAAGGTGTCACAGACTCAGAACAGCTTTGCAAGAGGCATTCTCCCAACAAGAAAAAAATATTCTGACTTCAGGTTTGGGTGTACTGCCTTTGCTCTTATGTGCATTCAGAAGTTCTCTTCCTCTGAAATGAACTTATTGCAAAAGCCAGCATTGCTTGAAAACTTTAACAGTGTGCCACAAAATGTTGCAAGTTACACAGCAAAACTCAGGCACTTCTTTTGTAATGCAATGATCATTTTGTCTGTGTTCCCATTTTTCTAACAAGAAGCAGTGACATTGCCATACAAATCAAACTGTAGTCCTACATGACCTTTTAGCAGAAAATTAAAAGGCTAAATGATTAAGGAGAAAAGTGTGCAAGAGAAAACAAGAGGACAAAGTCACACTCGCTCCAGATCAGGCATAGTAGACTCATACTGCCACAGCTAGGGATTAGGCAGACTCTGRAGAGAAATTATGCAAAGCTCACCAAGTATTATACTATGCAAATAAACTTAACAATGGCAGTATCAGGTATTTCAATAAGCAAGACAAACATAAGTGACTGAAAAAGTGGAGTGAAAAGTGAACTTTTCCACTGGAAAAAGTGGAAATCACTTCTGGATTTGGAAAAAAACAGTGGTCAGAGACTTATTTTACCTTTTTGTCTAAGTCACTAGTACAGCAAAAAGGTGGCCATGTATTTCACAACTGAGAAAAAGATACTACTGACACAAAACTATCAGGGAGTTTAGTTAAAGAGGAGTATTTGAAATTACATGACTTTTTTTTTAAATATAGTAGCAAAGAGGGGGCTGCCTTTTTGGCTCACTGGACTTTACAGATATCAGAAATAGGAAAAAAAAAAAAAGAAAGAAGAAAAACTCTTAGAAGTTAAGCTGAGTAGAATAGAATTCATCATTTCTGAGGGTTTTTTTAGTGCTTATAAGATTGGTTAACCCACCCAAGGTCCATCAGACCTAGCGAGCACCCACTGCTGCAAACACAGCCAAGCTGACAGAGACTGCCAATGACTTCGCTATCAGAGAGCACTAGAAGCAGAAATCTCACTCACATCCTGAGTTATTTACTCAGAAAGTCCTTCCTAACTTCTTTTTTTTTTTTTTTTTTTTTTTTTTTTTTTTTTTTTTTTTTAAAACACAGACAATTGTCACAAGCAACAATGAAAAACTTGTAAATGAAGGACCTCTGGTGGTCAGCTATAGACTGTTTTCTCAAGAAGAGAGAAGAAACAACCACAGAAGGAAAAGAGCTGCCAGCATCTCTAAACATATGTTTTTAAGACAGATTCACAAGCACCCTGAAATATACTCATTTGCAAATTTCTCAGAGATCAACAGAACTGGGCAATGTGCTCACTTCAGTACAGCTCTTAAAGATCCAACCTTAATATCCACTAGGAACACATACAGACTCAGTTCTTAAAGATGGAAATAACTAACTTTTGGAATAAACCAAGAGATTTTATTTGCCAAAGACAGAAAAGTCTGCAATCTCAGGCTTAGTGTGTGACATACGATACATAATGTCTGGACAGATACCTTTGAAATCCCAAGAACATTAGATTTGAACAAAAACAACAACAGATTCCCTTTCAAGAACAACTATTTTATAAGCTTAAGTAACTAGTCACAGATCCTTAATGAAACCTGCTTCCTTACCTGACACTAACACATTCCCACGAAGGCTTGGTATGGAACAGAATCAGACGTTTGTTGTCATCTGTCAAGGCAAAATAATTTCCTGATAAGGAGAAGGCAAATGCTAAGATGTCATCACTTCCTTTATCTGTTGACTGTCCATCCTGCCTATTATAGGAAAGAGAAAAAAAAAAAAACAGGTTCACAGACTGAAGTAGAGTTACACAAATCCCTAGGATGCCTCTAATCCCAATCTCTCCTCCCATTACAGTAGGTTGCTCAGGCCTTGCTCAGTTAAATTTCAGATCTCACCAAGAATAGAGATTTRAGATAAACACTCGGGGCACTGTTACCGCACCTCAAGATTTGGGGCACTGTCACCACATTTTCAAGATGAAACTTCCTCAAGTTTGATAYCACTCTTGAATTCCGGACTCAGATYGAAGACAATTATTAGCTGGCGTCTCAAACAATGTAGCCTCACTATCCAAGTGTATACTGTAAATAGAAGCTGCTATAAATTAGATAAACTGTCTTTTTGAACTTAAAAGGCTAGAATCTAAACATCCTAGACTAAAATTAGAGCTTTCTTCTTAAGGCATGTCTCCACTTTACAGTGGAGCTCAGTGCAACGACATCGTGGTWCAAGTGATCACAGCGGATCCACGAGCGCCATGCAAGGACTTGTCCTGCATGCCCAAACAGTCAGATACAGGACTTTGCTGCACTCCAATTTTCTGGCTTTCCAGACTGCATGGTTTAGTACCTAAGGATCTCCACACCACATCTTACCACACAGGGAAGATTTGTAAGAACAAAGAATTCAAGAAGAGCTGAAAGGTTAGGGCTAAATACAGGGGGATTGTTTGGTTGTTTGCTTTTGTTGTTGTTGCTCTGTTTTATAACAGTTCCAGCTTTTTTAAGTATTCAATAATTTTATAGCTGGGGGGTAAGATTTAGATTTCTTTGTTCTCCCATGGTGGAAAGAAAAAGGACCAAATAAGAAGCAGCGGATAATAAAGCTTAGGCCTGCATCACTACCTGCTTAAACAAGTACTAGGGTTTGTGTCTGTACCAGACAAATTCAGTGGAAGACAGCAGGACTACCTACAAGGAATGCAATTCTCAGTGACTGAGCTTAAACTAAGATTGGTTCAGTTTTAGAAATCTTGTGATTTAGAGAATAGTTCTGAAGAAAAACTTGTACACAGAGAATCTATACTGGTCTGTCTTGAGTGACTTAAGATTAAAAGAGAAAAAAGTTGTTGCGATCAAGAAATCATACAGAAATCCAATCGCAGTACTGATGTCTCAAAAACAAACCAAAAACTCTTTACAGTAACCCTACTAAGAAGTTGAAAATAATGCATGTTTTTACAGGTAAAACTACAAATCCTTCAAGGTTAGGAAAAAACACTTGACCATCACTTTTCACACAGTCATTCCAAGCCTTTCTTTTATTTTCTTCACTGACACACACCCTTGGGAAGGGACACAGCCTCTAGGGAAGCAGCAGGTTGTCTATGCATGTTCTCTCACCCTTTATTCCCTACAGGCTTCTTCTCCGCATTCATGCAATCATACACGAAGAGACTATCATCACTGTGAACAAAACAGAAAAAAAGAGAAAAGCCTAAAAACACTGGAACTAGAACAGTCATTAATTTAACCATAGTAAGTGCCAACTCTTTTGTGATGCACTATTACTACACATATGAGCAACTGACCCCTCTGAGAACCACCCCGGACAACAGGGCCCCTAAAGTGCTACAGATACAGTAAAAGTTGAAAACCTGCTACTTTACACCCACACAAAACAGAAACCATCATCTGCTGGCAAAATATTCRTCTTCTTTCCAGCATATGCTGAACACATTTTACTTCAGTCACAATATACTATGAACATGAAGTAAAATAACATTATTTTATTTCAGTCAGGTTCCTCAACGTGGTAAACTCGTTGAGGATTTACCTCAATTTTGCGATTTACTCGTTGAGATTGTGGCATTTACTGACCTCTCAAAGCAGTAACATTGATATGGTGGTTGCACAGTCGTGCCCAAAACTGCCAGGGCAGGAGAGCTGGAGAGCTCTATTGCCTGCAGCTGTGAACACGCACAGATGTGTGTCCTGCTCTCCAGCTACACACCGATGGCTCCAAACACACACAGCCCCGGGGAATCCCTATGGGGGGAAAACACCCCGCAGGGCCGCCGGGCGCTCCGGGCAGGGCCCGGGGGACAGCGCAGAGCTGCTGTAAACACCGGCGGGCCGCGCGGCCTGGCCTCGCTGCGGCGGACGGCGCCACCCCGCAGCCCCGCAGCCCGTGCGAAGCCGCTCCCGCTCCCCAAGGCCGCACGAGGCCGGTGCCCGCAGAGCGGCCCAGCCCCGCGCGGCCCTTCCCGCCCCTCCGCGCCGCACTGACCCGGGCTCGCCGT